TAATAACTCTGTCTGAGGTTCCATTTTCAGGTTCAAGCCATGCACTTTGGCTGCCAACATGTTGATGTTGTTAAAGACAAGCTTTAACACTATAGGCAGGAATAAAAGCATTCCCAGGACAAAAAGGGCTAGCATGATCAAGCTATATATGCTCTTCTTGAAGCTTGACCAAAATAGAAATACTGACCTCAGGCTATGGGTAATTTTATCAGCAGTATCTACAGCATCAATGCTCAGCAGAGCAGCATTTTTGAAATTCATAAGCTCACTATGTATCGTTAAAACATCCAGAGAGGTGTTAGAATTATGCCAAATACACTGCAAGTGTCTTTAAACTTTTTCCTAATTATAATGACTACCACTGTAAATTTTAGAACTGACAAGAATCTAATGGTATTTGGCATGACACTCGAGATGGCTCCTTACCCTTAAATTCTGAATCTCCTTCCAATAATTTGAATAGGATAAAGAACATCAATCCATTCTTCCAAAAGCCTATCTAAATCCTCTTGTATATTCAACACATTAGTAACATTTTTTTGCTAAATGATTAACAAAAGTAGCTGTCTTAACTTCTTGTGTCACAGCAATTGCAGAAGCAGTGGTGCAGTTGCAATTAATGTACTTAAAGCTGTTATACCAGCAGTAATCAAGCCCAATACCCTCTTGCTTCTGCTTAAAGCCTAACTAATTTCTTCCAATAGACCAAGGCAACTCTTGTAAGTATGATATTTAATTGGGGCTGGCTTATAAGCTCAGATGTTCAGTCTAGTATCAACAGTGCAAGAGCATGGAAACATCCAGGCAGGTATGGTTCAGGAGGCTCTGAGAGTTCTATATCTTCATCTGAAAGCCACAAGAGAAGACTGGCTTCCAGGCAACTAGAACTAGGGTGTTAAAGCCCACACCCACAGTTGACACACTTCTTCTAAGAAGACCACACCTCCAAATAGTGCTGCTCCCTGGGCAGAGCATATTAAAACTACTACATCTCATCGTGGAAATAGTATGTCACAGTGTGCACCACACTATATCCTTCTGTCCACACATCTTGACTTGCAAATGTTCATTGCAATGAATCATTGGTCTGGTTCAGGGTCTATGGCTTCTGTGACACCATCAGGATTGGTTTCTCATAAGAACTCCTCCTGGTTATCCTAATGTTGCATCACATCAGAGAGATCTTGCACCTTTGGATCAGGAGGGCCAGCCCTTTCTCAAGATCCAACAGTCCCACAGGTGATGTAGATTTGGGATAGGCCAACTCAAAGCCCTGGATCTGGACCTGGATGGTAGCTGAGCTGGCCATCACACCAGCTCTCTCGTATCTGCACCACTAAGGAGAGCTCTCCAGCACTGCTCCAGCTAGGCCACTTATGTGGCCACAAGCAGAAGGTAGGGTCAGTTCTCCTGCTCTCATGCCTTGGGGGACCAGCTCACCCTCACCAGGTCTCCAGAGTCAACTCTACTATGCTGCCCAGTTGTGCAGAATCCACTCTCACAAATGCTGCTGTCAGAAACTGGCTGGGCCAGCTTTCCTGCTTTCACACTCTCTTGGCTGGTTCATTCATGATTTCATCATCAGGGCCAGCTCCACTGTGTTACCCAGACAAAATGGCCTTGTAAATACTTAAGAATCTCCTTTAGCCTTTGATATTTGCTTCATTGATTCGGTAGCTAGACAGATTTTGTTTCAAATTTTCCTGCTCTGTTCTATGGAGTTGTCCCCCAACAGTAAGCAGAGATCATCACAGAGTTCACCAGTTTTGTTGTTGGTACTGTTGGTCTCACTATACAGCTTTGTCTGAACTGAAACTATATATATATAGGCCAGGATATTCTCAAATTCACAGAGATACACCTGCATCTGCCTCCCAAGTGCTGTAATTAAATTTATCCCTGTCCCTATTCCCAGCCACTCATAGGATTAATCTTAATGGTGTTCTGTGATTGCTAATTTCCCTTTCTCTCTCTCTCTCTCTCTCTCTCTCTCTCTCTCTCTCTCTCTCTCTCTCTCTCTCTCTCTCTGTGTGTGTGTGTGTGTGTGTGTGTGTGTAATTTTGTTTTTACTGAAAACAGACTCTTCTCACATAATGTGTCCTGATTGCAGTTTCCCCATCTTAACCTCCTCCCAGTTTCTCTCACTTTCTAATCCACTCCTTTTCTGTAAGTGTATTAATCAGGGTTCTCTGGAGTGTGTGTATGTATGTATGTATGTATGTATGTATGTATGGGTGTATGTAGATAGATAGGATTTATTAGAATGACTTACATGCTGCAGTCTAGATAATCCAACAATGATTGGCTGTGAATGGAATGTCCAAGAATCCAATAGTGTGCTGAGTCAATGAGGTTGCAAGTCTCAGATGCTCTTCAGTATAAGCTGGAATCCCAAAGTAGTCTCCAATGCCTGTGAAAGAATGAACTGGTTGGTGAGGGGAGAGTAAGCAGGTAAAGAGCAAAGCTTATATAAATTTCCAGCAGAAGGTGTGGCCCAGATTAAAGATCTATCTCCTTACCTCAAGATCAGGAGTAAAGGAGTGTCTTCCTAACTCAAATATCCAGATTAAAAATACATCTTTCTACTTCAAATTAAGAAAGAAAAAAGAAAAAGAGAAGGAAAGAAAGGAAAAAAGAAGGAGAGAGAGAAAGAAAGAAAGAAAGAGAGAGAGAGAGAGAGAGAGAGAGAGAGAGAGAGAGAGAGAGAGAGAGACAGAAAGGACAGACAAAAAGAAAAGAAGAAAAGAACAGAATAAACATGACCTCCATTTGTGACAAAATAAAAGCTGCCACATTAGAGTTAGACAAGAAAAAAAAAAAAAGAGCCCAAGAGAAGGCACAAGAGTCAGAGGCCCACACTTGAAAATCCCACAAAAATACTAAACTAGAAGCAATAATATATGTGCAGAAGACCTTGTTCAGACTTGTGCAAGCTCTGTGCATGCTCCCTCAGTCTCTGTGAGTTCATATGAACTTCGATCATGCTGATAAGAGAGTCTCATTTTCTTAGTGTCCTCCATCCACTCCAGTTCTTACACTATTTCTACCTCTCTTCCATGAAGTTCCTTAAGCCCCAAGGAAAGGGAACTGATAAAGACATATCACTTAGGACTGAGTATTCTAAGGTCTTCCATTCTCTGCTGTGGGTCTGGCCGTGGGTCTCTGTATTCTTCTTATTTGCAGCAGGAGGATGATTCTCTGATTATGGCTAAGCAGGGCACAGGAGTCATTTTATTGCTTGTTTGTTTGTTTGTTTGTTTGTTTAGATCAGTAATATTTGGTTTTTACCCTAGGTCCCTGGACTAGTCTCTAGTTCTTGGCTACCCAAGTAGTGTTGAGTATGGGTTTCATCTCATGAACTGGGCCTTAAGTTAAATCATATATTGGTTGGTTACTCTCACTGTTTGCCACCATTGCACTAAAACAACTTGCAGACAGGACATCATTGTAGATCAAAGAGTTTGTGGCTAGCTTGGTGTTTATGTCTCTCTTTTGGTAGCATGCAGAGTACTGCCCTTTACCAAAGATGTTAGAATATGGTGGAGTGGGGGAAGGTGTGAAGGCCCCATGCAGGCACCAACTCAATTTATCAATGTTCACTAAGTTGTATAGGTGCTGTCTTTAGTAACTTAGTCTATGCAGCTGGGATTGCTTGGGGAATTCCCATAGGACCCCACGGACCAACAACTCAGTTAGATGCAATTCATTCCCAGTACTGGAAGGTTCATTTAGTGACAAGAGATGAGATAGCCAGTTTTGACTCTGTCTCTCTCATTACTTGTCAATTTTGCTTAGATTACCTCCATATATATACATATTTCAGGAAGTCTTCCCTGTGCTAGGCTTCCACACTACCCCTCAAATGGGCCCAAAAGTTAATGGTCTTTTCCCATAGTCCCTCCCTCCAGCTCCCCTCTTCCTTCCCACTTGATCCCCTATATTAAAAAAAATTACATCATGAAATTTGCAAGTAAATAAATAGAACTAGAAAAAAGTTATCCTAAGTGAGGTTTCCCAGACCCAGAAAAACAAATTATGGCATGTATTTGCTTATATGTGGATGTTAACTGTTAAGTCAATGATAACCAAGCCCCAATCCATAGAAGCATAGACAGGAATAGAATAAGACACTAGTGGGGACAGATAGAGTTTTTGGTTTTGTGTTTTTGTTTTTGTTTTTGTTTTTGTTTTTGTTTTTGAGACAGAGTTTCTCTGTGGAGCCTTGGCCGATCTGAAATTCAATCAGTAGACCAGGCTGGCCTCAAACTCACAGAGATTTGCCTGACTCTGCCTCCCAAGTGCTAGGATTAAAGGTGTGTGCCACCTGGTGATAGTTCTTATTAGGAGAGATAAATGTAACAGATGGTTGTGGATGGCTTTGGGTATTGATTGTCAATTTAACTGAATCTGGAAATAACTAAGAGACACCTATAAGGTGTTTCTTAACTGAGTTAATCAAAATGGGGAGCCCTGCCATAAATTTGGGTGGAAATTGTTTGATAGCCCAGATATAAGGAATGCCAAGGGAAACACTCTGTATTTTTGTCTGCTTGCCATTATATGTTGCTGGTAAATCATTTAACACATTGATGAGTTAATCTACCCAGTTACTGTCAGTGCCACTGCTGTAGATGCTGCCATGTCTATCATTCATTGGCATCAGACACTGGCTTCTTCTCCCTTCATATGTGGACAGAAAACCCATGACTCTCCAGGAATCTACCAAGCCATCACATCAGATGAGTACTACTGAGGCATCCTGCTTCATGGATGAAGCATCTACCAGTCCTCAGCCTTTCCAGGGTGAAAAAAGCCATTGTTGGACTACCCAGACAATATCATACAAGTCAATCTAATAAACTCCACTTTTAACTTGCATTTACCCTATCATTGCTTTTCTCTATGGAACCTTGACTAATGCAACTCTCTAACTTCACCATCCTATAGTGTGCATTGCCCTCTGAACACAGTTATGACATGAATTTTATTTAATTTTATAGTTATAATTTCTACAAGAAAGAAATTCTTGCAGCAATCAAAGACTCATGTGAAGAAGTACAGGTAATAATTACATTCTCCATTACGTCCCCAGAACTAATAAAGGATATCACCAAAGTCAATATAAATAGTGACATGAATATGAACACATGTTTTTACATTTTAGGGTTTCATTTCAAAGATAAGCAGATTAAGTGATATGATTTCTTGTATTTGCTTCAGAAACATGAGCATGAACCCCAACATAATATGAACACTCCAAAAATGAAGCCGAAGATTATGTGACCTCCATATCCAAGCCCCAGCACACCACACTGCACCATGTGACGTCTGCCTGAGAGCTCAGCTGCATGAGTGACCTACAGACCCCATGTAACGTCTGCCTGAGAGCTCAGCTGCATGAGTGACCTACAGACCCCATTCCTAACATGCTGTAACATATGATGTAGACAAAACCTATGAGCTCAGAAACCATCTGAACACACACACACACACACACACACACAGAGAGAGAGAGAGAGAGAGAGAGAGAGAGAGAGAGAGAGAGAGAGAGAGAGAGAGAACCAAATTTGCCTACTCCAAAATTTGAATCATCTGAGAATGGTTGGGATGTGAGAGGGGCAGTAGTTCGGTTCCAATGCTGCAGAGTCTCCAGGACACAGGGTAACAGTAGGATAACCAGGAGGAGTTCTGATAAGGAGTCAATATTGATAGTGTAACAGAAGTTGAAGATCTCAAACTAGACGAATTATTCATTGCAATGAATATTTGCAAGTGAAGATGTGTGGACAGACTGTAGGACACACTGTCACATACTACAGCTTCCATAATGAGATGTTTTCTATGTTTGGGGGAATTTTTTGGTTTTAGTGGTGGTGGTGGTTGTGTGTGTGTGTGTGTGTGTGTGTGTGTGTGTGTGTGTGTGTGTTATTTGAGGGGAGTAATATGCAAAGGAGGAGACAGGGAGATGAGCAGGACAGGGATGCATAATGTGAAACTCACAATCAATAAAAAAAGTTTTGTTTTTTAAAAAGACATCATAGACTGCTAATTCCTGCTTGGTGTCGTGACTGCCTTCATACCACTAATGGAGATAAAGATCAAGTGAAAGAAGACCAAAAAGCTCATCTGATGTCAGTCAGATGATATACCAGAATTACAAGGAACCCAAAGGTGTGGAGAATATTCAACAGCCAGATCCTGGTGTTCAGCATCAGTTGTGAGGCAACAAAAAAAGAAAGCACATGCTGCCCAGTGGATCCCAGAAGTTCCTGGTTTACAAGGATAGGTCTTGAGTTGGGCCTGCATTTCTTGTAGACAGGGTAAATTTTGGGTTAAAAGTTTTGTGGGTATATTGGGGTTTCTGCTTTACTACAGGAGGTGGCCTCTTTAGGTTCCATGTTCCCAATGTTGTAAGTCACAGCTAAGGTCACCCCCGTCGATTCTTGGGAGCCTTTCTTATCCCATGTCTCTGTCACATCTTAGAGATGCCTCCCTCACCTCCCACCCCCACTAGTTGCAGATTTCTACTCATTCTGTTTGCCATCTGGCAGTCTTCCCTATTCCTTCCCACACCTGATCCTGAGCCCCATTCCCTTCTCCACCCCGTCTCCCACTGAGTTCTCAGTGAAAGAGGATATGCTTAACCTCAAAGAGACTTGATGTGCCAAGGTAGCGGGATACCCAGGGGAGCCCCACCCACTCAAAGGAGAAGAGGAGAGGGATAGGTAAAAGGTTGTGGGAGAGGTTGTCCGGGAGGGGAGCAGTGAGCAGGATGTAAAATAAATAAAAAAAGAAGAAGCCTATGGAACTGAATAGAGTCTTCAAACGAAGAAATACAAATGGTTAATATGCTGTTCCAGGAAGTGTTCATGAACCCCAAAAGACCACCTAGGAGCCATTTCCGATGTATCACATTAGGGTCTCTTTATTACAAACTCAAGTTTGGGCTTACTCACCACAGGCCCACAGGATGGTTTGGTGAAGCAGGCCCAAACTCTCATCAGGACAAGGTTTTATAGGAAATAGAAGTAAATGAGGCAGTGGGTCCACCCTGGCAAGCATCTAACTAAACGTCTATTGTAAAACGAAAGGTAGGTGCTCTGAAACAAGACTGTATACAATTAGGAACAGTCTGAAAGTACATATGAAACAATCAGACTAGGAAATAGCTAGGAAGTAACTCTAGGGTATGGGCCAAGGACAAGCTGTGGGGTCCTCCCTGGTACATGGGTACCACTTGGGTTCAGCTGTGGGCCAAGGTCTCAAGGTTTTTTTCTTTCTTTCTTTCTATCTTTTATCCTTTATGATGGAGGCTGGTCCTAAGATGGAGTAGGTTTGGCCTCTCAAGTAAATATGTTTTAAAGTGTTCAACATCTTAAGTTCAACATCAGGGAAATGCAAAGAAATTAAAAGTACACTGAGTATCAGCCTCAGCCAAGAATGGCTATCATCAAGAAGCAATGACAACAAATGCTGGCTGGAGGGTGGACAAAGGGAATCCTTGTTTAATGTTGATGGCAATGCAAACCAGTCCAGTTGCTATGAAGCTTGATATAAAGTTTTCTCCAAAAGCCAAGACAGAAATACTAAATGACCTAGTTACCGCACTCCTGGTCATATATACCCATGTTCACTGATGTCCCGTTCACAAAAGCTGGAAGATTGAGTCACTTAAACATACATCAACTGATGAACAGATAATAAAAATGTGGTGCAAACATGTACACAATGACATTCTCTTCAGCTACAAAGAAAAATCAAATCGCAAAACTTACAGTAAAATGGATAGAACTGGAAATCCACACTGAGGTAACCTAGGCCCAGAAAGACAAATGTTGCATACACTCTCATATGAGGGTCTTGTTTACAAAGCTTTAACTTTGAGAGTTTAACCTGGAGTGTCTGTAGAGGCCAAGAAGCTCATAAGAGGTCATGAAGGAATAAGACGAATTCCAGGCTGTGTCTGCCTTACCACTGGCATACGCAGAAAGCATGCTGCTCGGGGAGGCAGAACACAATCCATAATGGGGTCCTCAGCTCACTTCTACCCAGGTGGGAAACAGCAAGGTCTGGGGAAATTGCTGTGGTTCCCAGTCTCTGGTGTACCCAGGCACCCCTGGAGTACTGCTGGGAGTTGGGAACAGAGTTTCCAGTCTGTGCTTCCCCTCTGTGTGTCCACAAACCAAGCAGAAAGGGAAAGGCAGAGCCCAGAATTGGGCGGAACCCAGTTTGTTTCGGAGTGAATGTCAGGAGTAAGGAGGAGCTGGAAAAAAGAAGGCCTTCTCCAGGAGACTTAGGCCCTTTATGACAAAAGCCTCCCCCCATGGCCATCCTTAATGAAGAGACAGTCGGTGCTTGTTTAAGCTGCTTTGTTTCATGGTGGATAAAAATGTATATACCTTACTCAGAGTGAATCAGGGAATGCCCAGGAAAGGAACTTCATTGGCTGAACACTCCGAGTCTATCTAGATACCCATTAGTATGGAGAATGCCAAGTTTTTATGCTATGTGATTGATTGTCATGGTCCACTCAGTAGGGTGTCATTGTTATGTGTTCCAGAGCAGGTAGAGTCTGGCAGGAAGCTGGCCCCATGCCTACCGTTCTCAATTTTGGGTTTGTCCTCATTCATCTTACCCATTCTTCTGCCTGGTAGCATGATCCACTTGCCCCATAGAAGAATACATTAAAATGGGCAAGCATAGAACACAGTGGTGAAAGCATCAGAGAAGACTCAGAGTTAATCAGGGATCAGGGCAGGGGATGGTGGAAAGGGATTGAGAATGGATTAACAAAATGTAGGAGATATGAAAATACCACAAGAAAGCTTACCTTATAAGGTAATTGTGTGTGTGTGTGTGTGTGTGTGTATAAAATACATGAATAGAGGTACCCTACATGGATAGAAAATGTGGCTCCCAGAAGCCGTGGCTTCTTAAATGAAAATTCCTGTGCCACTATCCCAGTGTAGGGTACTTCCGTGTTCACTGTTGGTCAGGGAAGTCCCAGAAGCATCCCAAATAGACTGTTGTGATCTGAATACTAAGATGTCATTGCTGTGTCATTGCTGAAGTCAGCAAACATTTGTTTGCAGGACATAGAAAACTCTTGCTGGATCTGAGCTTGAAGCATTCATAGTGCTGGGCGCTGCACAGGCTGTCAGCTGTGAAAGCATCAAAGATCTTGCCCAGCTGTGAAGTTTGCTGTGCACTACAGTATTCACCTGTCAGTTATATGTAGGCTTAGGTTTTTCAAAACCTACTTTAATAAGGGTTCTTAAATATTTTAATCTCCCTTCTTGCCCACTGCCTATCAGAGGTAGTGGAAAGGAAAGGTTAATACGGTAAAGGGGGGTGTGGACCTAGTTAGAAATAGTTCTTTTGAGCTATTCAAATCTTCATTGTCAAGATGTCAGCAGTTCAGTTCACATGAGTCAGCAGCGGTAGCTCAATCAACTCACAAACACCATTCACGAAACAGCCACAGCAGTTCTATCCGAAGAAACCTACAGACACTGCCAATTGGCCCCAGTCTGCAGAAGCAGCAAGAAGCCATCAGAATATCATAAAAAGTTCTTTGGTGCATTTCTCTCTGTGAAGTCACAGCAAGTGATGATCAGTAAAGGAGACAAGGTGAACCATTGCCACAGCATTGTCAGTGAAGACCAGTGTCAGCAAAGCCCGATGAAGACTAGCGAAGAATGGCAAGGAGAACCAATGCTCCAGTGTCATCCACTGTCTGTTGGGTTATACTTACACCTTTTCCAAACACCGCGTGTCCTCCCACTCCAGCAAAACATCACATGCCCTTTTTCCAGGCAGATTTCAGAAAAACACCAAGTCTGTTCTTAGCAAAGCATTCTCCCATGTGTCTGCTTCAACAAAACATCCTCTCATAAGACAACTACCAAAGAAACATCACATTACATCACATGACACAACTGAGTCTCCAAAGAAGCTAGAAATTTCCTTGTATGTCCCAGTAGTACAATGGTGGCAAGAACTTTATGAGGCTAACCAGCTGCTTTCTGGTTGGAATTAAGAATTATTTCTAAGAGGGAATTCATGCCTTAAACTGTAAATACCCATGCCTGGGAAAGTCATTATTCCTGAGGGGAAAGAAGATAGACTGTTGTCTAGATGAAGGAACATGGTGTTCCTATTTAGAAGGAAACTGCCTTCTAAATATGCATGTTTATACCTACGATTTGTGCTGTTCTCTGTCTTGGTGTGTTGCAGTTGGCAACAGTTAATGCAGAGTCTCACAACTATTGACGTGCTAACAATAAGTGACTAGACAGTGCTCA